TTTGTGGCCTCTGGTTCAAGGAATTGAAATAAAAGCCCACATATATTTGAAAAAGTAGAAAGGAAACTTTATCTAAAGCATAACAATAGGAAAAAAACAAGCATATAATGCAAGAAAGAAAGCAGCAATGTGGTGAAGATGCTCAGACCTGTGACTATTGTTTGGGCTTTCCTCTTCAGGGACTCAGGAGGAGAAACCTGATGCTAGGGGCAGAGTTTGGAAGATTCTTGGTCTTGATCAACATATTAAGCTATTTATTGCCTGTGTTCTTTCTCATGATGCATATCATTTTAATCATATAGACATCAAATTATAGGGATAAGATTAGGTTCAGTGGAAGACACAGTTTTGACTTATGTCTCCTGTACCCCAAACCAGTTCAGGCCAGATTTGATTTTCTGATCTTCAGAGTATGAGGGGAATATAATCAAGAGAGGGACCTGAAGTTACTAGGGTCTTATTTGGAGAGGCAGGGGGAATGCATTCTGCCTGAAGGTGAGGAGCCAGGGTGTCAAATGTATTATTGGAAGAGAGGGGTATGCCTGGCACAAACCAAGAAGGGTTCCGTATTACTAAATTATTCCTCATGCTAATATGCCTTATGCACAGTTATAAAACTCTTTTCATATAAAATTTAGGATTGTTATTTATAAAATGACATACTTTCAGGTTCAATTCTTTTTCTTTCTTTTTTTTTTTTTTTTGACGGTAGAGTTCTGATGCATGTATCAAGAAATTTCAGTGTCAAATTCAGCCTTGGGTATAACTGTATATGAGACCGTCGGTATTGATGATAGTTCTCTTTATTTCCTGGACCTGCTTTATCTGGGTGGAAGTTTATCTTAGCTCAAGGCAGACAAGACCAGCATAAATGTCCATGATTCCAAGGACCAGCCTCACTACAGTGGCTTATAGGAGCTGAGTGTTAACATCACACACACACACACACATACACACACACGCACACACACTCATGCGCGAGCATGGATTGGGAAGGGATAAACTATTCAACAACAACAAAACAAAAACAAACAAACAAACAAACAAACAAAAGCCAAAACAAAAACCAGGGTCTCTCACTGAAGTCAACCCAGGATGCCCAGAAAGATATAGCATCAGTGGTCAAATCAGGCTGGGGACCTATGAAATCCATACACTTTAAAAATACCAGGATGGAATAATGGAAGGGTATGGTTAAACTTCATGATAAGAACTGTAATACAGTACAGAAATGAAATAAATAGTTCAGTGCCTGTTATTTAGCTATTAAAATGCTAAGTTAAAGCTATTAACACATTAAAAAGATGTTTAATTTTCGCTTCATCATAGATATTACACTACCTTCTTCCAGTAGTCAGCCCTTTCCCCATCTACTTTTAGCTTGTGAGGCAGTTCTCCCCATCCCATAATAGAAATGTGTCTCATACACCCTCACCATTAGGAGGACATTGGACAAAAGTCACTAATTGTAATGGCATTGAGCAGTTTAGCTGTCAAGATGTCATCTGTAATTCTAGCCAACCCCACAATGCAGACTGCAGCCGAGCCACCTACAGCAAACCTTCCCTGAGAAAAGAAACGTGTTGAGTTTTCACTTTTACATAGGGAAAAATGTTGGTGTTGGTTGGAAAGTCAGAGATGCGGTATCGGCCCAGTTTAACCCTGGACTGCTGATAATTACTTCAAACTTATTTGCTGATGTGCAGAATTAACGTTGGTTGTTAATAATTTATCCTGTGACTCACAACTAAGGGACTGAGAAGATCAAGATTGTTTAAAAAGTATTTAAGTCTTTTAAACATATACTCATTGTTGTAAAAAAAATATTTTAAAAAATCCTGGCATGGGGTTCTTTTCCACCTTAGACCATTTATGTTCCCAGATGAAACACAGACGGAGCCTTCTATTCCTAAATATGCCTTAGGCAGCACAATAGCTGGACAACTGCCTACCCTCTGTGCTGTTAGAATCCATTTTCCTACTGATAACTCCCAAGTTACTACTTACTAATTTTGATGTTCCATCTGGGCTGCTCTTAACTCTAATTGGCCAGCCCACATGGCCATATTTCTATGGCTTAGATATCTCATTGTGGTTCTTCTCCCTCTTTCATAGAGGCTCCCTGTGGACTGAAGCAGAGGACCCCTAAACCCTTCCTCTGTCTCTTCTCTCCAGCTATTGGCTGCTGGCATCTTTATCTACCAATCAGAATTAGCTGGAGGCAGGATCCCTCAGCGTCTTATATGAAGACTCTCTCATCTTTGGGGAAGAGTTGGGGGACCTAAGTTAGCAGTAGAATACAAGCAGCATTAGGTCAGCCCATTACATCTCCCCTTTTGTCCAATTAAAAAGGCTCTTTTCTCTCAGATATAAATCGAACACAATTATAACAAATATGGAAATTATAAGGTATGATATATACTTATAATATCCAGTCTATCAGATTTGGCAATAAAAGTATTCTATTTTTTTTTTGCAACACTCATTACCTTTATTCAGTTCCTAAGCATTCCACAAGCTGATAGTTCCTGAGGGGTTAGCCGCAGTGTTCGCAGAATAGGTTAGCCCCTCTGTGCTAAGCTGACTGTAGATTTAGGTATATTCTTACAACTTGTGTTTCTGTAGCCCTGTTTGGTATTTATAGCACCTCCCACATGGGTGCCTAGTTCAATTTAATTATCACCTATCACTGACTCCTTTCAAAACTCATTTATAAAAATGTTAAATAAAGCCATCCATTATACCTGTGTCTCCAAAGCTCACTCCCCGGCTGCTCTTCTTAAATGGATGCACTGCCATTTATCATTAAATCTCTTTAGCCAATTTAATTCCCAAGAAAAATGTTAATATTGAATCCACTCTGAGCTGAGTTTTAATTAAGATTTCCGAAGACATTTTTGTGTAAGTGATTTACGATAATCAAAACTGCTATCTCCTCTTTGGTCCCCATCAGTCCCCACCTTTTATCCTCACACTGAAGATACTGACTTTGTATGGCAGGACCATTTCTCCTCAAATACACATCATCCATTTGACCGTTTCTAAAAATAGTGCCCTTCTCCTTTGCCTTTAGGTCTATGTCTGTCATGCCTATGTAAGTCCCCAAATTATTTCAGGAAATGTCTTTCCCAGTGGCAGCCACATCTGCCTACCCGAAATACCAACCTTTGGGTGTAGTGTCCTTGATGCCAGTCTCTAAATTTCCTTTTGTCTTCTCTATTTTTGTTGCTGCTATTTCTGTGCCCGTCAATACTCCAATTGCAGGAAATAATTAAAATCGTAATTAGAGGAATGGTAAGATGGATGGATCAAGTAAAGGTACTCTCTCTGCGAAGTCTGACAGCCTGAATTTCATCCTGGGACCCTTGTGAAAGAAAGAGAAAACCAATTCCTGAAAATTTTTCCTCTAACACACACATGCACGCACACACAAAACACATATTATAAAAGAAATAGAAACCCAACTCCTAAAAGTTGCCCTCTAACCTATACATACTACACACATACACACACACATATACTACACACACATACACTAAACACAGTTATAAAAGAAATACAAAATCTAAAAGCTGCCCTCTAACCTATACACACTACAGACATACACACACATATATACATATACACACACATACATACACAAACACTAAACACACACACATACACATGCTAAACACACAGTTATAAAAGAAATAGAAAACCAACTCCTAAAAGTTATCCTCTAACCTATACATACTATATACATACTACATACATACACACAAATACACACACACACACACACACCACATAGACACAGAGTTATAAAATAGAATCAGAATTAGAACATGTGCCACATGTCTCCTCAGTCACGGACGGGTATATGAAGAATTGATTAGCATTTGCTGGTAATATTAAACATGAACCATTTGTTAACATTGCCTCCCTGACCCCTGCATTTGAAGTTTTTCAAGTTCAATATGCAACATTCACATCTTGAACGGTATCACCCAGTCCCCCAAAGGACTCTGAACGCTGAAGATCTATCTAGAACTTCAGAGCGATAGATATTAGGAAAACACAAAACAAAGTGGCCGAAGAAGCCACATATGGGCTAACGAGTTAAAGTGGTGTGCTCTCCTTACCCTAGACAATTTTGCTTTCCTTTCTGGGTAAAGTAAGGCCACGTTCCTATTCCTTCCCTATACTACTTTGGCAACAATGGAAACAGGATTCTGGGAGAAGCTTATGAAACAGTTGTTAGTAGTGTCTCCTTCCAGAATCACTCTTTCCCATCTATGTAAACGTGTATCTATCAAGAAGTGCAGAAACCTTGCTTAACACAATAAGCCACCGTCACTTTAGTATCACTTTATGGAAATGAATAAGGGCCATTCTCCTCTCACGGGCAGTCAAGACCAGTCGCCTTCAAGTGATCTGAGATGTGTACATATCGGGTCTACAGGGGCTTATCTTCCGTCGTCTCCGTGGCTCCGAAAAACAACTCTCTTTTCTTAAAAGAAAATGGTTTTTGGAGCGTGGGCTTTATCAGCCCATCATACGCCAGTGTGTTGGGGGCGGGGGAGAGGTTACGAGGCAGGAGAATACTGCAGGTGAGAGGACGGGGTAACAGAAGCACAGGGGAAATAAAGCAAACGTTGATCTTCCATTTTGCCCCGGTCTCAGACTACAGTGATATTTGTTTATGTGTAAAGAACGAGAGGTAAGATAGAAAACTGATCCTGTATAGGAATATTAGATTTTGTGTTAAGCTTTCTCCCCCCAACCACCACCTTTTTATTAAACTAGAATAAAGATGGGCTTCGATATTAAAAAAATTGTTCTGAACACAGTCACAAACGGACAAAATGACAATATTGGTCCCTGCGGTGAGTCGGTGTCACAGCAAAACGCAAAAGCAGTGAACGTATTTGCTTACCGACTGCTCCTTGTGTTTGGGGGAGCCAGCGACACTGCAGTGAAATCCTAACAAGATTTGTGTTCTGCCTTTTCAATTCCAGCTGACGGCGGTAGATGCTGATGAAGGCTCTAATGGGGAGATCTCCTATGAAATCCTGGTGGGGGGCAAAGGAGACTTCGTGATCAACAGGACCACGGGGTTGGTGAGCATCGCACCAGGAGTGGAGCTGATCGTGGGACAGACATACGCACTCACAGTGCAGGCCTCGGACAACGCCCCGCCTGCAGAGAGAAGGTGACTCCCCCAGGCCCTATAGTTCTAGAGAAAAATCACTATATCTATACCCTATCATTACTGAGGGACTACTATTAAAAAAAAAAGTCACCTTTTGTTACTTTCAGCTAAGCTTTTATAAAAAGCCTTCAATATCCTTCAGTTTATTTCATAACATATTTTTAATTGAACACATTGTTATAGTTACTAGATCTAGCTTGATTTAAATGTGTCAGTATACTATAGTGACCATGATGCAAAGGGTTTAAATCAGCCATGGACTGTGGTATTAGCCAGTTCTTTGTGAATAATAGGCTAAAGATATCCCATGAGCAATCAGGGCATCCCTCACAAAGGGATTATTGATTGTTTGTTTGTATGTATGTATGTATGTATGTATGTGTATATGTATATGAATATGCATATGCATATGTATATATGTACATGCATATATGTGTACAGATATATGTGTGTGTATTTGTACATATGTTTTGCTTTCTTATAGTCTTCACATTATGTATACTATACATTATAAAAGAAGAGCAGTAATAGTAATGATGAAATCCAATTTTTATAGCAATATAGTAAGTAGTACAACATGCCCAGCATCACACACTTACACTTTGGGGTCTTCATTAAGTCAATAAGGATTACTAAAAGCATGGTCCCATCAGACAGGAAGCAGTTAGGTTAATGAGAGGACGCACTGTATGGGTATCAGGGATGCAGGGAGAATGGCCGAATGATGGTCAAAGCAGGACAGAGAGGCGAGAAGCAGACCTCATTGTGCTGACCAAAATAATACGTGACTTAAAGCTTAGCAATCCTTGATTCCAAATTTTTCTTTTAAAACTTTGGGACCACAGCCTACTATGAATGACTGAAAGTTCAGAGAGCGAACCTCCGGTTGGTGTTACGACTTCTACACTTAATGATTCATAGCAGAGATTTCTCAGATTGATCATTGCCTGTGTGCAGATTGCTCAACTCTGCTTGAGCAGGCTAGGTCAGTAACAGGTTTTTTACTCAAGTAAGATGGCATTGTTCAAACGGCGTTATCCTTGGAAGGGCGTATCCAACCTCTCAGTGGCGTCTGTTTCATTTTTATTTAAAAATGGTGAGTTGGATGCTACAGAATTTGTAATTATAATTTGTCATCAGATATAACATGAAAGGCAGCGTGCTCACCACCGTATCACCAACACATTCTTCAGACATGCCTTGTGGCCGTCAGAGAGTAAAAGCCACACATACTCCCTTTCTACCTGAGGGGGTAGTGTAATGTTTGCTGCTGGATAATGATAGTGACTGTTTTCTGCAGGGAAGTTAACGCCTTCAGATTCAGGTGGTAAATAAACTGAGGATTTGGGAGGCTTTGCTTTCGGTATCTCCTTGGAAAGGAAGATGGTCTTTGATAGTTACCAGCATAAAGATATCAGTAGCTATAGATCAACACCACCAGCAAGAAAGAGTGTACATGTCATGGAGTGATAGCAGTATACACCTCGGCAGCAACAATCACAACTGGGGAGGTTCTCCCCATTGTTTTATTTAGTTTGACCACTTGAGTTTGTAAATTTGAATGATATTGAACCTCAGAGCCAATAAAAAACAACTTTAGGTTTATGCTGTTTCAGTCTAGTGAAGTGTCGGCAAGTTCAGAGTGACCACAGTAAAAGTCCTTCATCAGAATCTTGGGTTTTTGTTGTTGTTGTTGTTATTGTTGTTGTTTGGGACTTTAATAAGAGCAAACAGATAGACAGAAGTTAAAGGGTTAAAAATGTCCTAAGATTAAAGCCTCATTCCGTCTAGTACTATGTGTTTGTTAATACGTTTATTTGGTTCCACTGAGTTGAGTAAATATTGTTTTATCCTGGAATGAAGTATTTCTACTATCAGGTTTGAAAACAGTCTCTGATCCCAACTGTTCCTTGTTAAATGACCATAAAAATGATTGATACAATATGTCATCATCTTATATCCCCATCGTCATGGAATCTAAGTTAGTACTTAACCCATAACTAAATAATGCTCTCCAGTAGAAAATTTTCCATTATAAATATATGTGTGTGTATGTGCATATACATGTATATGTGTATATGTATATATATGTACATGTATACACATATACATAATAATTATACATGGTGATAAATACATTAAAATATTCATTTGTTCTAACAAAACTACACTAGATTCCTAAAATCTCTTGTGTCTGGGGAAAACATAGGAACTAAAGGGAAGGGAAAGAGAGGCCTGGTGGGATATGAGTCTTGCAGTAGCTATACACACATGTAAACATATGGTAGGGAGTCTCAAGGGCAAAGACAGGGTCATAGGAGAAGGCAGGACATGGTGAGAAAACTTGGAACATTCGTTCATTATCAGTGGTCTGCTTTAGGCATATTGACTATCCCACAGTCAAGATGAAGTTTAGCTTGGTGGTATTACGTGATCATACACTCCAGCTTCAGTGGGTCCTTCTGTCCCGTGTCTCCCCGCTCTCTCTTATACAAGATTTACAGTTTTCTTCTTTATTCCTCTGTGAAGTCACATCAGTGCTCTCTCTGTCCATGGAGCCTTGTGTGTTGCATAGATGATTATATTTTTGCATCTGAATGTTATCCCCCAGCTTATGATAAGAGCTACTTGTCTTCAGTGGAAATATAAAATCTCTGCTTCTTTAGATACCTGCATTTTTTTTCTGCCAAGATAGTAGAATGGAAACCATGAGCAATGAACTATAAATATAGATTTTGTAGCAATTTATTAATGGGGATGGGTAAAGGAAAACTCATTGTGATGTCTCTGTTTTAAGTCTTTCCAAAAAACTAGTATGAGTACAAGTCACCTTTATCACAGAAACATGTACTAATGTTGCACATAATATAGCAATAAGCACATTGTACAAGGTGGCATGCATATTGGTTATTCTTACAGTACTAGAAAGTTAGGCTCCTTGATATTTTTATAAATCATGACTTTTCCCAAAGTCAAAATACATTAGGTCAATCTTCCTGACTCTTCCTTATGCATATTTTATTTCCTCCTTAAAATAGAGAAATACACTTTCATCATGGATGGAGTTTCAGTTATGACATAAGTAATTAAATATTAGAATTTTGTAACCTGAGTCTGAGACTTGCTTGGTACTAGGATTTGGTCCAAGACAGCATCTTCTGTAACAATGCAAGGACCCTTCATATTCACAGCCGTCAGATGACAAACAAAACAAACAAACATAGAAAAAAAACTCCAATATACTTTCCAAAAAAAATCTGTTCTTATAAAATCTAAAAAGTTCAGAAACCTTTTGACTGCATCTGCAGTTCTTAATGATCTTGGTAACTTTAATTCAGTCACTTATAATCTTTGTAATTATTTAAAATTATAAACCTAGCTATTCAAATGGGGTGACTCAATGTGACTTTTTAAGTCCCAAGACTGTCTTAGAAATTCGTGGTCTCTTTTGTACTGCTTTGACCTTTCTTCTACAACATGAGAATAATAAGGCCTCATGATTCTTCAGCTTTATAAATGGGAACTTTATTTGCATCATACTTGCCCTATTACAAAAATAAAATATGAATAGGAAGAAGCTTGGGTTTATGCATTTAGGACCAGCTATAAATGTAAATATGAAATACTCACATAAAATATTATTTACCTAGCGACTGCCCTGTTTTACTATGTGCTTAAACTATGCTGCTGAATTACTGCTGTTTATTACAGCATTAAGTCATCATTTTATTGTTAATGCTCTAGGCATTCAATTGCAGGAAAGCTTACTCTGACACTATGCTGACATCAGGGATAAAGAGGAGATCTCATTTTAAAAGGCAGTAACCCTCAAAAAGACTGGTACTTATTAAAACACGCCACGGCAGAGTGCCAAGATGGGAAAGATGAAAGATAAGCTGTGATCTTCCCTAAACAATCCTCAGATAAGTCCTGAAGGAGGTGTTGGAAGCATAACTAGAAATCCCACCCCTTGGATTATGACAGAAAAGGACCAGAGAAAGAAACAGGGGAGAGCAAATCAAAGAAGCAATCTCACTGGACCAGAGTTGCCCTCTGGCTCAGCCCAAGTGGGAGGGGCAACAAAAGCCTAAGTAAGCATCATCTCGCTACAAACCTGACAATAGGTCTGGGCATGTTGGATTACAGCTATTACCCAACACTCAGGAGACTGAGACAAGATCGCGCGAACTCGAAACGGTTGTAGATGAAAGGAGCAGGCTGACCTGGGATGAGTAGTCAGACCCATGGTCAAAAAAACAAATAAAAACAGCAACAGATTTCTCAGACTCACTTGTGAGGACTTGCCATGCATGCTGTGAGGGGCATGAGCCCAGGATGAAGATAAGAATCCCCTCATTCACACCACAGAAATGGGACTCATTAGCCCTAAGACTACCTTTCTGTTACTTGGGTTCCGTGTGAACCCAAGCTTATAAATGACGACTTGTTAGTACGTGAACTCGGTGGTTCTCACCCTTAATACACTTTCTCACGTGGTGATGACCCCCGACTCTGAAATCATTCTTGTTGCTTCCTCATAACTAGAATTTTAATGCTGACATGGGTCCTAATGTAAATATTTTTTAAGACAAGAGATTTTCCAAAGTGGTGTGGCCCAAAGGTTGAGGACCGATGCTTTACCTCATTTTAATTTACCCTTACACGTTAAATTTTAACTATAAAGTCATTTAATTATTTCACTATTGCGTCTATATCTCCATCTGAATATACATCAATGTAAGATATAAGGAAAAAAAAACTATTCGTTTTTTGTGACAGTACTTTCACAAAATATAAACCAAGGATCAGAATGAATGCAGACACTTTAACTGATTATAAAACTCTGATGTATTTTCATTTCAAATGAGTTTACTTTGGGACAATATTGCAATAAATGCAAGATACAAATGTCTTAAAGAGACTCCCAATTTGATATAAATGCTTAATAGTGTATGTGATCTGTCTACACAGAGCTCAGCAGCCTGTACCCGTGCATGGGACAAATGGATGAGCTGCCAGCCAGATCTCAGTGCTAGCGGTCTGCACTGAAAAAATTTTAAAAAGAAAAGTGGGTTAGTTATCCTAGAAAAAATATGGAATGCATTATAAAGAATACATTCGTATAGGTATATAAATATATTAGAATACATTATTAAAAGGATTCTGTACTACTTTAAGAAAAATCTAGACCCTAAATAGCAATAGCCACTGAAGCCTTTTAAAGTTAAAAATACAATTTAAAGAAAAGTAACGCTTAAAGGCTATATTTTAGAACGCACACGATGTTCCAATAAAATATTGCATGCATTTTGTGGTAGAAGACCTGCTCTGTAAACTCACATCTCTCGTTTATCCATTCCAACAATATTTTTATTAGCATCAAAAACTTGTAGCCTCCATTTTTATTGTCAAAAAAATCTAGAGTTCAAAGAGGCTAAAAGAATTGACATGAAATAGTAAAAAAGCAAAAAAAAAAACAAAAAAAAACACCTTATGATAATAAAGTGACTTTATTTCCTTCATGAAAACTCCCCCTTGGGATGAGATAAGTGGTTTCTAGGGTGGGGAAATGGGGAAAGGGGATGGCATCTGAAATATAAATAAATAAAATATCTAATAAAATAAATTAAATATCCAATAAAAAAGAAAACTCTCCCTCAATATGGACTTTAACTAAAAAGCAATTTTTGGCTTTTCATATTATACTCAAAAATGTAAAACATCTCCAGTTATATTACCACAAATTTACCCTAGGATTACTTTGATTTTGACATACAACAAAAATTCATAGTACATGATATCAGAGGCAGAAGTAACAAAATACAACCTCTTGTTTCTGTGTAGGATTTCTCTCTCTCTCTCTCTCTCTCTCTCTCTCTCTCTCTCTCTCTCTCTCATGTGTGTGTGTGTGTGTGTGTGTCTGTGTTATGTATGGTTGTACCTCTATGTGTCTATGTATATATGCACATGGGTGTATGTACCTGTATGTATGCATGTGTGTGCACATATGTATGTTTCTGTGTGTGGCTATATGTTGAATTAATCAATCCTCCTTTACCTGATTTAATTGGAAGAGAGCCTGAAAAGTGAATTTTACTACCAGGTGTTTATAGAAAGATTTTGCTTGTTTGTTTGCTTGCTTTTCTTTGCTATTAAAGACAAATAGGACCATCAGTTTAGGCAAGTTAATTTATTAGCCGTCCTTTGCAGCCTCTGCTTCTTCACTTGGGCTATTCATCTAAGTTGTAGAAACAGGTACTGGAGGCGATTTTTTTTTTCCTTTTACTAAGCTAATTTCACAAAGGCATTATATTTTGGTGGCAACTTTTACTGTTTTATTCGTTCACGATTTTACTGCTTCCTATAAAAGCTGAATTTTTCTTGTCCTGCAAACCCGACAAACAAATAAAAAAAAATGTATTCTAACTTTCAGAATTGTGTGGATCATTAAACACCCATCTCTCTTCTCTCTGTGCAGGCACTCCATCTGCACCGTGTACATTGAGGTGCTGCCTCCCAACAACCAGAGCCCTCCCCGCTTCCCACAGCTGATGTACAGTCTGGAAGTCAGCGAAGCCATGAGAATCGGCGCTGTTTTATTAAATCTGCAGGTGTGCCTGGGATATGGATCTGTGCGTCTGTGTGTGTAATATGCCAAAAGGCCACAGGGGATGGCTCGTGAGTTTACGTTGTGCTGGGTGGAATCTCTTGCCCACCTGTTTACTTCTAGTGAATGGCATTTCTGTCCGGGAAGAAGGGGACAGAGGCGAGCTGCATGTGGAGAGGGGGCTTCCACGGCTGTTCTAGTCCATAGATGGCACGGTTGAAAACCTAACACAGGCTGGCAGGGATTAGTTGCAATAATCATGGAGACGATGAAGGAATAGGAAGCATGAGCATGAATCTTTTGTGCTTTGAAACCGAAGAGTACAACCAATCATTGTCCTTGTTTCTTTGGTCTGAATTTACTTTTGCTGCTGTACCATTCGGGAACCATCTTAGACTCAAGTGAATGGTAGCACTCAAGAGTCTGAGGCAGACTTCCTTTTCCCAGTGGCCACTGGGAAGGCTGTTTCAGTGTGCTCGCTGACATGAAAAGGGTTCTTTGAGACGCTGTCTCTATTCACAGCTCAAGGTTCCTGGCATACGATGTTCTTAAAACAGAATAGCTTGGTTTTCAATATTTACGTGTCGCTGACCAAAGTATTCAAACTGACTTCAGGTTTACCGTTGACTGAATATGTGGCTTCCATTTGTTTCACATATGCTGTCGGGAATCGTCTCTGGTTTAAGCAATAATATAAATGATATCAGGGAACGGACTGTAGGCAGAGTAAGTTGTATAAAGAAGGAAATTCAAGAAGAGAAGAAAGAAAAATGAAATGTCACCTTTTCTCTCATATGCAGACTCAGATATAAATATATATTCCTACATCTCTGTCTATATACAACATTAAAGTAGAAGGTGCTGTTTTGTTAAGGGTATAAAGGTTTAGTATGAACAAACTTTAGTTGTGTGTGTGTGTGTGTGTGTGTGTATCTGAGTGACTGTATGTGCATGTATGCTTATGTCTATATGTGTATGTGTCAACATGTGTCTGTGTGTGTCTGTGTATGTGTGTATGTGTTATGTCTAAGTTAGTGCATCCCTGTGTGTGCATGTATGTATGTGTGTGTTTGTATGTTATGTTAAACATATCATAACATACTTAACATTTTAACGCCCCTAAAACATTAATAATTTTCCTGAAAAAGATCAAAATCAATCATAAGACACTACATTACCTATTCATTGGACAGACTACATGTTTCTAAGTATTGCTTGGAAATGGTACCGTTTCTCTTCTTTCTTTTTTAAGATTTATTTATTTATTTTATGTAGATGAGTACACTATTGCTGTCTTCAGACACACCAGAAGAGGGCATCAGATCCCATTACAGATGGTTGTGAGCCACCATGTGGTTGCTGGGAATTGAACTCAGGACCTCTGGAAGAGCAGTCAGTGTTCTTAACCACTGAGCCATTTCTCCAGCTCCCGGGGCAGTTTCTGATATAAGTATTCAGGAACCCGGGCATGATATTAAGAGGGATTCATTAAAGTAACGTGTTAAGGAAAACTCCAGGTTCAACTTTTTTTTTTTTTTAACCATTAACTGCGGTAGCACAGGACACACCCAGCCATGTTTTGCTCCAAGTTCTTAAATCCTTATACCTTCTCACCTCCTGCCTCACAGTGGCAGGGTCATTCTGTGAGTAGCCAAATGCCAGAAATTTGTTGGCATTCCCAAGCACGTGTGGAGTTTTCCATAAATATTTATTTTATTGCTTTACTCTAGGTGACTTGATGTTTTCCTGTTTAACATTTAATTATTTATAGAGTGTGTGGGCAGCAAAATTACAAGCAAGTATAAATATCAGTGATAACAACATATCAAGGATTTTAAGGGGCAAATTAAGGAAAATGCAGCTTTATTCAGTTAGACAAAATAGCTAACCACATTATTATTATGTAGGAAGAAATAAAATATTAATACTAATTCATTTAAATAAAATAGTGAAGAATTTACATGCATGAGGAATGATTTATCAAAACAAAAAGAAATAAAAAGTCATACTACATCTTAAATTTTAAAGATCGCGGTCATGAAGTCATCCATGGTTTAAAATTAAATCTTCCCTAACTCTGCTCCCATTTGCAAAATGCCTTGTAGAAGATAAGCCATAAAATTTGCTTACAAAGCAGCCTGGTTTCTATGTCAATAAATCTCAGGAAGCTGAGAATCTTATTATGGGTGAATAACACTATCCGAGCATTCAAGATGAATCCAGTTTGCCTTTCTCATTTGTCCCATTTCTTTGACACAAAGGCTGGGGCGAAAATACTTGAGATGACAATTCTATTCCCCTTTGTGTCGCTGGGAGAAGCAAAAGAAAGGGCACAATCGTGGTAGCAGAACAGAAAAGAAGGAGCAAGGGTGTTACCATCAAGGGTTGCTCGTAGACTGCCAGCCTCCTTTGTTCGTAATCCACTGAGAGACAGTTTAAACTCACGACCTCTAAGTTGAAAAGCATCCATCAAATTACTCCTCCAAAGTCTTGCGATAACATGACAGGTAAGAGGCACCGTGGTGCCTGCAGCTCTTCGTCCTAATCTTTTCTTCTCATCTTGGTGCCAACCAATATGAAAAGAAAGGATAAAATCCCGGATGGTGAGGGACCCGCTTCAGGAGAATGGCTCAAATCTCGGGACTTTACTGATCCTTTCCTCCAGTCCCACACTTACTGTTAAGAATGCCCCTTTCATTCTTCCTGAGGGTGTTTGCGAAGTTGTGGCTTCTTCTTTATGTAAATACTAATTTGAACACTGTTGTAGGGATGGATGGCATTCCAGAGAGGAAAACTGGCCTCCGACATGCATTTCTCTCTTCCTCTCGGATCGTGGTTAATCTGGGGTAGGACTTTCTTCCCTCCAGAATTGCTGTGTGGGTTTGCGGTGTGTTTTCTATCCATCTTTATCCATCTTTAATAATAATTTCAAAATGCTGCGGAATTTAACCCGCATGCCTGAAGGCAGTTTTATTTTTAGTCTTGAAGAGAAATGTCCTGCTGCCTTGACCTCACTACAGAATTGATTCTTTGCCATAACGGTTTGAATTAAATGCAAGCTGTCCTACACATGCCCCTCTGCAGCTCAGGGCCCGTCAGAGGTGCTAATTTGTTTTTTCTGACATTCAAAATGCTCTAGAAGTTTAAGGCGCCCCTGCTTTCCTCTTTCATTTTCTCCCGTTTTGTTTGATAAATATTTCTTATATGATAGGTTGTACTTTTGTCCTGAAGATGACACAGCGTGTTGATTCATGAACACTGTACCAGGTGCAGGTGCACACCAGAAAATTGACAGGATTGGTGCTGTATGTTTTTCTTTAATAGTTTCTCTTTCATGATCAAATACTTCCTCTCAGTATTCAAGTTCCTTCATGTGTTACTCTGCTGATGAGAACTGAAGATTAGGCTTGAAGATGCCATTTCTCCATAAATGACAGCTATCATTTATCCAACTTGACAGGCTGCGCTGCCTCTCCTATATGTATGGAAGAGGAACTTCATTTATTTTTCTTCATTTTCAGTTTGTGTGTTAAAAAATTTCTTTTGTGTACCCCTGTTGTCACTATTTGGAGTGGTTCTTTCATTATTAGCATTATCCCAAAAGAATAATGTCAGGAATGTAGAAGACAGAGCTGAAATATGTGAAATATGAATATTGGTTGACTAACTCCAGGCATAAATTGTAAGTTTATGTAAAAATGGCCATACATAGATAAAAGAGAGATGATAGATGTTAGATAGATAATAGACAGGTAAGTGATAAATAATGGGGATAGATGATAGATAGATAGATAGATAGATAGATAGATAGATAGATAGATGATAGATAGATGATGATAGATAGATAGATAGATAGATAGATAGATAGATAGATAGATAGATAGATAGGAAGGAAGGAAGGAAGGAAGGAAGGAAGGAAGGAAGGAAGGAAAGAGGGTAGCTAGAGAAGGATGGAGCAAAGGACAGTGGGCTGTTTCATAACATCAGTTGTCTGCTTCTTGCAAAAACTGAGTTTCAGAGAGAAATTTTTCATTCTTGGGTAGAATGGAATTTAAATACACACACATGCATGAGCACACACACATGCACCCACATGCATGTTACCTGTATGAGTGTTCACCTACATGTTTTTCTATGCATCAATTGCATGTTGTTGTCCCTGGAGGGCAGGAGAGGTTTTCAGGTCACTGGAACTGGAGTTACAGATGGCTGTGAGCTACCATGTGAGTGCTGAGCATTGAACCTAGTCCTCTGGAAGAGCAGCCATTGCTCTTAACAGCTAAGCATCTCTCCTGATCCTCAGAAGGAGGCCTTTTCTTTAAACATCTTTTTGGGAAGAAGGAGCAGGATGCAGGAGTATTAGAATTTTGGAGATGCCAAGATTCATTCGTTTAGCAGACTGAAACCAGAGCTGAGGTGGTCCCTGCACTTTGTAAGGATTAAACAGGGAGGAGAATGCAGGAAGAGGCAGCTTGACCTTAAGCAAGGCATCTCCCTTTGAAAGACTCAATTCCTGCAAGAAGAGACAACTAAAGCCATTCAGTGGGCAATGTTTCCAACACACAAGGGAAAGGCTGCTCCATTCTTTAAAGGAGTTATGGGATGTCTGTCATAGTGCTGTCATGGTCTCAGAATTAATTTACTTTAGACTGAGTACTTGATACTCTCTTCCTCCGAAGGAAAACAAGGTCCCTCCTGCATTTACTGGACTCACTAAATAATATCTTCACTTAACAAATTCTCAGGCCTCCTTTCAAGTCACCCCGGAACTCCCCCTTTCTCTGTAGCCCTCATTCCAGACAACCAAACTCATTGGTCCCAAAATAACTCAGTTACCCTGTTTCTCCCCATTCCCACGACCTTCAAGTGACCTTACCAGCTGTTGTCTCTTGTCTACATAGCTCTTGACTAACTCTGAAATACTTAAAATTGACCCTACCAACATTCAGTTTCTTAAGGTGTCTTTTAGTACATGTTATTAGGAACAGAGGCATCTTTTTTTAA